TCACAGCATAGCAGCCTGCTTTCTCGAAAGACGGAAAGGAGTTGTAAGCCAGTACAAGATATCTGAAGCATCAGCCTAGTTTTTCTCTTAACAGTGCAGCCCAATATTCAACTTGTGTGTGATTAAGCTACGTCAGGTCGGTTAGTCATGCCGGCTACAGTAGAATTCGAGTGCTGATAGTGTCTTCAACGGCGTCAGCAATTCTTGCTTGACAACAAGCCGCGTTGTCATTCTGCAACACGGAACTTTTTGGTTCTGTTGTGGTTGGCAATGGCTAATCTCCCAGTATCCGAAAAGACGCTTCTTCTTCGACATTTCAATGCGCAATCCGGACTTGTATTTTATTTTTGTAAGTGCTGCACTCAGGCGTGCAAAGATCCTTAATAACCCTGCAAGGTGGGATGAGTAAGTACGGTGGCGAACTCTCCTTCTGCGGTTCCCCAACTAGATGTTTTAAGCAGAAGACGTGGCATCGATAACGTAGACCTCGCCTTTCCGCAGACGGCAACTGCAACCATCGACCGCGTGTGTGCAAAAGTGTTTAGAATTAACAGTATTCGTGGAGTGTTGGGGCGGGCGCAAATGGGTTAGGCCTCTTGGTTCTGAACGGTCCATCCTCTTTACGAGACGGCTCCCCGAACTGATCGCTTTAACGAGCTTGATCACAGTTATCAAGAATCTCATGGCGACTAAACGATCTCAATGTTATTTTATCCGCTGATGACTCGGAGGCAACTGTAGGCTAAGGCAGGACAGTGTCCTGTATTCAGACGGCCACCTTCTTGGCACATGGCCCAGTCGCCCATAGTTTGGCCTTACCATTATGACGGGACTATGTGCTATCAGGGCTGCCAAGCACACGTGTTCCCCTGGCTAATCCGTCCCAGTGATAGGACCCCAAATTGGGGGCAGCATTCGAAAAATCTGTTGTACCATTTGTTGACATTTTGGGGTAATAATTATTTGCTTTCTTAACAATAGATGCACGTGGCACAAAGTTGACGCTCACAAAGTGCACTCCTCACTTGGATGGATGAAATCAGCCACATAAGTGAGCAGCTGTGGTGCACTTATTTGCTGCAAAAACCGCAATGTAGTACACTGAGGCTAAACGAGCTCTACGTTCCAAGGCCTACCGGCCGAATTAACATTAACAACTGGATTACGTATTGGATGGAAGACAAGCAAAAGAAATTCTAGCAGGGCCCTCCATATGACTCCGCAGCAAAATAACGGAAAACCGCTAGCTGTGACTACGGTAGGGTGAAGGACCCCACCAAACTATTGGTAGACTGTGGATGATGTGGCATCGGGCTTTTTGGCATCCATTTGCAGGCCGTTGCAGACATCCCACTGTCCACAACAAGCACTTCCCTTGATCTTAAACCATTACTCGGTCTCCGTCATTTTTTGAAATTTACTTTTCGTTTATTCCTTGAACAACGCGCTCATTCGTGTTACCAAACGAAAGTGTGAGATAAGACTTTCGGCAAAAGTCGAAACGACTTGCATTTCGTCAGCTTACTGTCTGGCGTGTTGTCCTGCCCTAAAAACTTCCATTACGACCATTCGCGTATGACGCGACCCACAGTCTACCGACAATTAAGTGGGGCTCTTCATCCTTCCGTTGACCAAACTATTATCGACATAACGGTGAAGTAATCGAAATTACAGAACATCTGTTCCTGGAGTTACAATAAACAAGGCAACTGTTGACAACTACAAAGCCGCGATTTATGTACGAAATCACTTTCAACCAGACAGCAGCACGGTACATTCGATAATGCCAAAAACTAACAATAAAGCTGTTACAGAAAAACACCTGCTCACCGAAAATGCACGCAAAACTAAAAGATCTTTCAGTTTTTTTATTTGAATCGTACCACGGTCGTTCCTGCACGAACGATTCAAATAATATACGTTGTACGCAGCATATAAACTAAGAAAACCTTATTCAGCGAAAAGTATAGTGTCAATAAATGGGTATCGACTGTGAGAAGGGCGCAAGAGGACACGATATAGGCAAATGAGAACAGGTGACCAGGCCAAGCCGCGCACGTGCGGAGAACGAGTAAATGGCACTTTTTGCGGAATAGTCCAGTCATTTATCATGCGATTGACCGAACACTATAGTGCGAGTGACGGCGACGTCTACATCTCCTCTTGAGTTCCGAGAAATTTCGTGACTTGAATGATGCCATTAGGGAGTTTACTCAACTAAGAAATATCAAGATAAGTGCACTTTAAGCAACTGACTACTATTAAAAGGCCGAAAGTGCTCACATGTGTTTTTATGTGGTTCATATGGATAAGGGCGTAATCACGTAACGTCCTTTAAAGTGGACCACAACCATGACTCTGTGTCCACTAAAAAGATCTTAAATTGTGGGATTTTCCCAAGAGAATGGCTTACAGGACTTTCGCAGGCCAAGTCCTAATTCTCCAAAAAGTCAGTCTGGTTACCAGTGCACAACATGCATACTGTAGCACAAGTGCTAGCACTAGTTCTGCGAGCCCAGTCTAGGTGATTATTGCAGAACGGCACGTTAAACGGCTACGAAGAGTTGATGTCTAGGGTAAAAATGAAGCGAGTGTTGAAAATACACCTTGTCCGGATGTTCGCAGACTACAATCTTCGAATTTTTCCTTTTACGCCTAGCACACAATGCACCTGAGTAAAACAACTGATCTCTTCCCTTATTTATATCATCGAGATTTAGGAAGGCCAAAGAAAGAGCATGTGGATAGAAATCGACAAGATGAATCAAACGGGTATTCTCCTGACAGTATAGTGAATAATGCATGTGAATAATTAACGAGAAATACCAAAAGTAGCATCCAGAATTAGCCTATAAGCTTGGCAAAATGGACAGTGAAGGTGATTTCGTTGAGATTATTGACGAACATGGTTTTAGCGAACAGGGCGTGCACATGACGACTACGACGTTTCTTTTCTTTGTATAAGGGCCTGGTAACACTCCATGACACCGGCGCTAACAGTAATCTCGTCGCCTACACCGGAGTTTGGTGGTTTGACAAGTGAAACAACGCTGCCGTCAAGTTCTCTGTAGGCAGGGACATACTAGTGTATCATACTATCTAAGGAGACATCCGAACATGAGAACTTAAGTAACAGCGATCGGTGGAGAGAGGTGAGAGCAAGAGGTATGCGACATACTAATCACAGATCTTAAGAGATAAATGCACTGCTTAGGGAAGCCTCATCACAACAAATTCCTATAAGCCGCTTCCAATAGACGGCGTTAGAAGATTCTGACAAGGGTGAGAGCGACGATGCTACCGACGGCCATTTTGGCCATATCTGGCATTCTTGTTCTAGGTTCCGTTGCTTCAGTGCCGTTCACCCTCGCGGCGGGCGGTTCCAGACTCACTGACCTGCCGTCATTCGACTGACCCTCACTCGGACGCACATACACATGCGCAGCTTGAGTATATCATCCACCTGTGATGGCAACGCAAACCATTTAAACACCACTTCCGGCAAATGGAACACACAACAATTGGACACCACTTGAACTTGCCCTACAAACATTCGAAAGCAGCTTCCACCTCTGTCTCATTAATCTCGGACGCGACTGGAAGCAGACAACATCAGCTCTGACTTCGTCAACAGCTACTGCCGCCTGAGAGATCAACTCAGGGTTCTGTATACAATGAACTTCTCAATCTGATGACTTCAGTCTTTTATCACAGCACAGGGCAACGCCTTATGTTTGTAGCGCTCCGAGTAACCCCTCACCACTTATACTCCACGATCGTACGACCACTCTCACTACATAGAGCTGTTACAAGGCCACAAAACGATGTCCCACTCTCCGCGTACTGGAAGAATCTCATAAACTTGTTTTGATAATTTGGACAGAAATTTTTCCGTTATCCACTACAATCATCTACCAGTGAAACAAATTTACCTCTTCGACTGTTAACAAAAATACGTCAGTCTGTTACATGTTTTTTATGTCCATTGTGCTTTTATTTTCAACCAGTTCCCTCTTTTGGTTGCTAAGAATTTACTCACGGCTAACTAAATCCTACTTACATTATCTCTTTTCTGCCGAACGTTCGGCTTTCTCCTATCCCAAGTTGTAACGTAACGCAAGTAGGAGGTGGTTCGATTGTACCACGATATGAAAGATAATATTTCAGGGAACACGGACATTGTTTGTCATGACCGGTTATCATCTCGTTGTCTGGAAATCGCTGAAGGTTGTGTTGACACGTATTCGAATTGCCGGTATCGAGGCCTGCAGGTATAAGGCTTTGGGCATGCGTTGTTCCGGGGTGTAAAACTTGGGCATCACGTACGCGCACATGAGAGTTATGAGGACTCTCGAGTGCCCCGCAATACACGACGCTAATAGCGGTCGCAATTTGCGTCGTTACCGCCCTGGAGTCTCGAAAGTCATGAAAAACATTCATATACCACTTATTTATGCAAAAGTAAACTCCTGAAATGGAAGTTGCGTAGACCTTATCATTCCACAAGGTCTTCTAAGCATATGAGGGATAACCCAGATGTTTGCATGCCGAAATTTCGATTTTTTGAGATGCTGGAAGACTATGTGGTTGGTCTGTGTACGTGCATGCCGTCCAGTCTATGAATGACATTTTTTGTTACTTTTTCGATT